TACCTGTAGTTTATCCAACATGAATCAGCATATCCTTTTTTCCCACCTTCCCCCTCTCCCTCCCCTGCCCCTGCCCCCCCCCTTCTGCTACATATCTCACTTCCCTTTAACTGCATCTATATATATATATTTGCCTCGAGTTGGGGGAAGTGGAGTCGTGAAGGAGATTGGCTCAAGGTGGGAGCTCTATCATTAACCTAACTCCTTCACGACTCCCAGCTCCCAGAGATACTGTCCAATCAAATGTTGGCCTCATTAACAAAAACTGGTGGAATGTGAGGTTGCTTTTTGTCGGGGAGCTAGGCCCTCCCTTGGCCTGGGGGAAACCAAACAAGAAGGATCTCTGTCATCGCCTGTTCACCACAAAGGTGATGGACCATGCAGGTAAAATGTGACGACGAACAGGAGGAGGCTGTTGTGACTATTAGTGAGTGGGCTGTAATATATGCATACCTGATTTTAGGTTGGTGCCAGACATCGAGCCAAGGTGGTCAACTTTAGCAACCCTCCCAAAAAAAGCCTGGCAACCCATATTATAATCCAGATTATTACTAGGCTATTACAAAGACTGAAAGAATAGCCTGTAACCAAGATTTAAACATGTAGTTGAGGGATTATCAACCTGCCTGTTGAATATTGTGCTTGTGTCAAGTGCCTGACTGCACATGCAAGGTTGTGTCATCAAACAGGAAATCCACAGTAGATTTGCTGAAAATTTAGAAGTAAATTTTTAGGTGTGGTCCTTCCATTAGTGAAACATAAAGTGTAATTTAATGTGCAATTTTACCACACGAGTTTTGATCAGTGGTAGAAGGTGACAATGAAGGAGAGATTTTTAGTGTGTTCACTCTGGTAAATAGCTAGTTGTGTACTTCGGCAGCTTATGTGAAGTTTTCAGTTGAAATTTGGCGTTCTGGGTTGTCAGAAGTAATCTGAGCAATTTATCGGGGGGGGGTCCAACCTATGTTATATTTATGTTGGTAATGTTTATTGGTGTCAATGTACTCATTAGGCTCAGTTGCAATTCTGTTGAATGTATAATTATTGCTGAGAGATGTGTAGGGCAGTGGTAGTGTCTTTATCTCTGGTCCATGTTCAAGTCTCACTTGGAGGTGTGTCAAAACATGTCTGAACAGGTTGATCGCAATAACTATGACGACGATTACTGCTTTGGAATATTTGTTAGTAACGGTTAATTGAGCTGCTTTGCAAAACATTTCATTGCTCACTGTAATAACTTACTACTTCAATAGAGAACCTTCCGTTTTGTATTTTGCCTTTCACAACCTTCTGGCATCCTAAAGCATGCACTTCTCCCTTACCACCGCACCCTATCCCTCTGACCTCCTCTTTGAACTCCAGCCTCTCTCTCTTTCTTTGTCTGACCTTTTACCCTCTCTCCTATCCACCATCCACCCACAGCTTGCTTCACTTTCAGGTACTTTACCATCTGAAAGCAGAATACAGCAAGTTGACACACCTATTTGAACTGACGGTTACCAGCTGTGGTTGGGTTTGCTGCCAAAAGTTTCAATGTATTTATCTCTCCGCTAATATACTCCATCTTTTTTACAAAAAGTTTCACAGATCATGTGGCCACACATCTCATCTCATTGTGGGATCTTGCTGTGCACAACATTATCTCATTGCCTCAAGTGGTGGCTGCTGTTCGGGCATATCTCATTGTATGTGAGATGCTCTGGGAAGTTGTGCTGTGGCCATGCTCAGCCCCTTTTTTTATTGTGTGATGGTCCTCTCTGACCACAGAACTGTTTGTGGCCAGTGTTGAACATGTGCTAATGTTCAGCTATCTGTTTGAAATGCTGACTGCTTGAAGCCTTTAGTGCAATGAAGGCAGCTTTACAGTCAGTCATATCAGAAGCAATCTATGGACACCCCCTCGTCTTTTCCCCCACCCTCCAAACCCCAACAACTACACCACCCCTTTCTCTTTCCTAGCCGTAGCTACATTGAGATTTAGATCTTTGTGCTGCTTGGGGACTGGAGTATTCAAAAAGATGAGGGCCGCTCAAATTCACTGGATTCATTCCTGATGCTCTGGTGAGTGGTGTCTGCAGTTGGTTGCAAATGAAATGTTTCCTGCAGTCGTGGTTGTTTGTGGGGTTGCTGATTCTGTTTTCTGAAGGTTAACGTGTGGTGGTGACACTGAAGTTTATCAATACGGAAGAGGATGGGATGGTCTCTCTTTTAGAAAAATTAATCCACCAAGGGTCCCTTTTATCCTTGGTTGTGACTAT